GCAGTGGGGAGAAAGACTGCTGTCTAACCCACGAGAGGCTTAGCAGCACAGAGCAATGCAAGGATGAATATTTAAGTAGGAGTCATAAATTCATTTTCTATAGAGACACCTAGAAATTTTTAAGCACCTGGAACCCAACCCCTACCCAGAGAAAAAAATGGTTTTGCTAAAATATTAAATAGCAGAAAACAATGGATAAGACTTGTGAGGGGGAAATGTTATAATAACATAATTATGTAACAAATAATATTCTTGTTTATCTACAAAAGTAAAACAAAACAAAACACACCAATATTCTTCTCAACTATTACATCAGGGGGCAGGGTATACACCAGCCATCATACCCCTCCTTTTAAGGGAAAAGTCATTCCTTTTCAATAGCACCACAGGCAACAAAAAAAGCAATGAAAAGTAACAAAATATGCATGGAGAGGGTGAGAATTTTTACCAGCTATAGGGTGCTAATTTCAAATTTTTATAATTAGGACATAAAATAGGAAATCAAAAGTCAAAAACATTTAAGAGAGAACACATTTGCAGACATGCAAGGATGCAGAAAGAGTAAAACATCCGTACTATAGATAGATGGATAAATGGTGGATGGATGGATGGGTGGTAGATGGATGGATGGATGGATGGATAGATGGGTGGACAATGATGGATGGATAGATGGGTAAATGGTAGATGGATGGATGGATGGATGGATAGATGGGTGGATAGAGAGTGGGTAGATGGATAGATAGGTGGATGATAAATGGACAGATTGATGCATAAAACAGAGGAATAAATGACAAAGTTTTTGAAATTTCTCAGGTAACAAGGAGCACCTAGGAGCATCAAAGAGAACAACTGAGAGAAGAGGGGTCAGGAAACGGGGAAACCGAGGCTGGAGAAGTTCTCCCAGCCTCTGCTGCTCAGCTTGAAGGTCAGCTGAAATTTATTTGGAAAAATCTTTACTGTTTTTTAACCAGGGAGCAATAGGAGACAGACAGCATTTTAGTGCCCACCACAAATGACCTGCCTGGTTTGGAGGCGACAACTGGGCACAGAGAACCGAGCTAAGGGGCAACAGAATCGTCAAGGACAAACAGCCGAGCCTAAACATGTGGGACGGGGGTGGGGAGCGGGGTCCAGACACACGTGGAGGAAGACCCACAAAGCTGGGGNCCCTTTGCTTTGTCGTTGACTTACACCAGCCATGGTGGTTCCCCTACTTTGACCCAAAGCCTCCCGCCCCTCGTAGTCCACCGTCAGCCTCGAATAGTGACATTCGGCTGAAAATAATGCGTTTTATTCCCCGAGACTCACCTGCTTTGTTAGGTCCTGGATCATCCGAGGGAGGAAATACTCCTCAGTTTGCCTGGAAAGGAAACCAGCACAGACCCGGGGGCCGTGTCAGAAGAGGGGAGAGTGGCATCTAAACACCAAACCGAACCCACGAACCAGGGCTCCCCACCCTCTGTGTCAGCTTCCCCACGCCGGACGGACCGCGTGCCTCGGACACACGTCACGGGGATCATCATTCTTCTCCATGGAGGAATCCAGGTGGAATTCCTGATCAAAGTTCCTGACTCAGAGAGGCCATCCTGCATGTACCCCATTACACGGTGTCATCACTGAAACGCTGAAATAACGTTTCAAATTTTATACGAGGGACATGGGGTCGAATACACAACTTGAGTTCGAGGCACCCCAAGGTGCTCCACAAAAAGGCAGGATCACACGTGACCTCAAATAGGCTGCTACCAGGTGCACACTGAGACATTTAATGAACTCTATTTTTTTCTTTCTTAGGATTCACAAGAGCTTCAGAATTCACAAGAGCTTCCGGGATGATCTTCCTGGCTCTTTTACTCAAGTAAAATTTAAAAGCTCAGAAATAGAGAAGGCGATGCCTGTTCGCCCGCACTAACGATGGGAACAGGACACACAGACCCCGCTGACCGCCGGGCGGCCGGCCCATATGGAGCGTTCAAGTCCCCATCGGTAGGTTCGTTGATGGTGACATAGCTCCTCTCGTTCAACGTTGTCGTTCTGAAGTTTATCCAGGTTCACGTAGGGCCGTTGATCTTCCTGCACGGGCGACGCTGGCACACGTGCCCTGGCACCTGGGGAGTCCATGGCGGCTGGCAGTGGGGGCATCTCTCCCTGTTCACACCATTTTCCAAAGCGTTTTCCCCAGTCGTGGAGGAGGGGCTCCTTTGCTCAGAGTCAGTGCATTCGCCACCTTTTTAATTCATTAACCCCATGGGGCAAAGACAAGTCTCACTGCAATTTCAACTGACAGTCGTCCTGAATTTTAACGATGTTGAGTCTTTTCGCACATTTATGGGTTTTTTCTTCTACGAAACCTGTATTGCCCTTTGATTCTTTCGTCTTTCTTCTTGTGTTTCTTTGATTGGATGTTTCTTGGTGGCTTCTTCTTATTGATTCACAGTCCTTTACATGTATACTCTGAACAATAACCTTCATTCAACACGTGTTTACTCAGCGTCCACTACGTGAAACACCCAGAAAAATAACTTTTCTCAGGATAGAGGAAAATAACAAATACAGATGCGGTGAGGACGGGGCCACGCGCTGTGTTCATTGCTCCACACACATGGGGGGACACAGCCTCAGCCCCACGGGACGGAGGCTGTAATTATCCCTAAAGCACAGCAAGGTTGGGTGGCTTTGTTGGCCCAAAGCTCCTCAGCTGAGAAGGGGCAGAGCCAGGGTTCAGTCTCGGGTCGCCCAGCTGCCCAGCTCTGGGGCCCTGCGGTTCCCCATCCCTCTCTCCCACGTCCATTACACGTTAGTGGGGGAAACAGACACACCTGCTCCGTAGGAGCAGCAAACGCTTTCCCTGTGTGAGTGCGCCCAGCGCCGCGGGCCCCCTCATGAAGGTGTCTCCTGATGCCACGTTCTGAAGGTTGAATTTTACTTTATGGGTTGCGCTTTCGCTTTCAGCGTCTTGTTTACATGTCTTTCCTGTGCCAAGGTTACCAAGATAGTCTCCGATAGTATCTTCTAAAACATTGGCACTTGGACCTTTCATATGTAAATGTTTGATCTTTCCGGAGTTGTTCTGGGCCAATGATTTGATAATCAGTCGTGCCTATGGAAGGAAGGCTCCATAAAACCCCGAAAGGACGGGGTTTGGAGGGCTTCCGGGTTGGTGAGCACCTGGAGGGGGCAGGGAAGCTCGGCCCCACCCCCACACCTCGCCTTGTGTGCCTCGCCCATTGGGCTCTCCCTGAGTTCTATCCTTTTACAATCCACTGGTGACCCGGCAAGTAACAGTTTCTGAGTTCTGTGAGGCGCTGTGGTAAGTTAATTGAACCCAAGGAGGGCGTCAACATGTAGCTGGTCAGTCAGAAGCACAGGTGACAACCGGACTCGGCATTGGTGTCTGACGTCTTGTGGGGGGGCGGGGGGATCTTATAGGACCGAGCCCTTACCCTGTGAGGTCTGACGCTAATCTCAGAGCTGTTAATTGCTTGGTGGCATCAGAATCGTAGGAAGCTACGGAAAGCTGTGTCCCAGTGAATAAGCAAGTGACAAGAGAAGAGCAGTAGGTGCAGGGGCTGATCAAACCCGGGGGAGAGAAAAGAGAGGTCCCCGAGAGAAGTGACAGACGGGGGTGACGGCTGTGCAGCAGGCCTGGGGAACATGGGGCAGCCTGGGGCGGGAGGGCAGGACTGACCCTCCGCCTGACGGGAAGGGCGCTGGGTGAGTGTCCAGACAGCAGAGGGGGAAGGTGCTGGGGACATGACCGCTGGGTGACACATGGAGGAGGAATGGGGGTACACGGTTGACTGAACACAACCTGCAGCTCGGCCGTGAACTTGCTCAGGTGTGACTCCTGTGAACACTGAGCTGTGACCGAACCCGGAGGCCGAGNGTTTGCAAGTCCCAGACCTCCTGAGAGGCCCGGAGGGGCGGGCGGACCTGTGGGGCGTCCAGAGCTCCTCGCAGATCTCACTCCCGAGGCAGGTGTCCTGTGTGGCCAGCACTGCGTCCCCAAAGGGCACAGTTTCCTGCAGTCGGGAGACAAGAGCCCATGAGACCCCCAGACGTCACTCAGAAAGGTTTCGTGAAGGCGCCGTTTTGCTTCAAGCCCTGAATGCGTCCTTCCTCCGCTTGGAACACTCCCCGCCCAGGTGGCCGGCAGCCCTGGCATCTCCCTCCTGACCCTAGCGGTCCTCCACTCACACCTTCCTCAGCTAGGACCTGTGCTCTGAGCTGCCTCGGAACTTACTGTGGCCGAGAGAAACCGGCACAAATGCCATCACGGCTGTCGTTGTGACAGCTCTCATTTATCCAGGGTTACTCTAAGCTAGATACGGCGCTAGGCACTTTTCCCATGTCATCGGTGTACTTGGCGGGGTTACTAGGAAGTAGTCCCATCCCTGCATTAGAAATGACCTCAGGCTTCCGAAGTCCCAGAAACCTGACAAAGGTCACCCAGCTCCTGCATGGCAGGACCGAAAGCAGAGAGCAGGTGTGTCCATCTCCGAGAGTCACATTCATAAACCACAGTGGTGGCAGCTCTGAGGGTGGGGACAGTGCCTCTCATCCACAGCTGCCCGGGGCCAACTCATACAGTTGCCCCCCCTCCGCCAGCTAGACCGAGCAGGAGCCCTCGAACTGCAGACTATGCCCCACATCGGTTTAGTGGATCACTGCTGGGAGTTTTTTAGGGTACAATAGGGTCCTGGAAAAATGAAAAGGAGTGTGTCTCACGGTAAGAGGATTGCTGCTGGCACGGTCACACACAGACACGCACACTCATACACACGTGCACACACATGCACATATACACGTGCACAGACATGCACAGACGTGCACACACGCCCACATACACACATACACGTGCACACATATACGCACATGCACACACATGCCATGTACATGCACACACGTGCACATACATGTGCAGATATTCACACATGCACATACACACATGCGCACAGACACACACCTGTATACATAAGTGCAGACATGCACACACATATAGACACACACACACACACTTGTATACACACGCGCACAGACATGCACACATGCCCATATACACACATGTACCCGTTCACGTGCACACACATATGCACACGTGCACACACATGTGCAGATATACACATGCGCACACACGTGCAGACACACACTTGTATACACATGTGCAGACATGCACACACACATATACACACGTGCACAGACACACGCGCACAGACACTGTGCTCTGGGGCATGATTTTAAAATGTGCTCACTGCTGCAGTTCATATTCAGAACTTCCCAGGTCACTTGGGAGGTGATCAGACCAGGCTGGGAGTGTGCTCCCCAAGTCTCGGCAGTGCCAGCCCTGACCGCCAGTGCAGAAGGCCCCTGGAGAGCCTCTCTCAGGAACCAGAACCGGAACAGGTGACCTAGTCTGGCTCCGGAACAGAGGTGACCTCAGCCCAAGGGCCNCCCCTCCCCCATCAGGACTCCACGGGTGGCCCCTGGCTGGTGGACACCCAGCTCCCGACTGAGTCAGAGTGAAGAAATGCTTTTGGTTACTTCCATTTAAAAACCAACATCACTTGCCTGCCAGGGGATCAAACACAGACCAACCAGTAGAAGGAGAGAGTTAGCTGGTGAGACGCTGAAGTCTTACCTGTTGGCTGCGTCTTAAAAAGTCCCAGAGCCAGCAAGCAGGTCCAAGGCTGGGGGGGACAAGGGAAGTGTCAGGTTTGGGAACTGCTGACCTGGGGGCAGGTGCCGAGGTGGAAGCAGTGAGACCTGCTAGCAGCGCCGGGCCCCCACGAGGCACCAGTGTCTGCTTTAAGAATTTCACATCAGTGAATACATTTTAAGTCTCCAAAGAGCCCTGGCAGGGGGGGGGTAGTCATTGGCCCCCTTTTAAAATGGAAAAACAGACAGAAGGAGAGAGCAGAGCCTTTGGCTCAAGGTCTCAGTTCCGGAAAATGGGGGTGCTGGGCGTGGCACCCAGTGGTGTGGGTGTAGTGTCCTCACCCAACCCCAACAACACGTGGCCGCCTCCTGACCAAGCGGATGCCCTGGGCAGGTTCTGAAAACCAGCCACCATGCCTGCTCCGTGCGGCCCCCAGCGCAGTGCAGACGGCTGTGGCGCAGGGTGGAGGCGTTGGCCCACAGGGTCCCTCCTGTACCGAAAAGGCCGCCCACCTGATCTCCTCGCCAACACCGTGGTACTTCCACTCCACAGGCTCAGACAGCGGCTCCAGCAGGTCCTCATGGCATGAGAGGGCGAAGTCCACCTTCACACGGGGGTAGGGATTCACCTTGCTGGCCTGCGGATGGACAGTCACGACAGAATGACATCCTCTCTGTACCAAAACCCTCACAGACAGGGTCCTGACACGGACTGAAGAGCAAGACTCTGTCAGCAACTGGGACATGCACATCCAACCCGCTGCGGGAGACCCTTCTGGCCCACCAGGACGGCTGGACTCAGAAAGACGGACGGTCACAAGTGTTGCAGCGGATGGAGAAATGGAACCCTCGAACGCACGTCACTGCCGGGAATGTAAGATGGGGCGCTGCAGTGGGAAGGTGTGGCAGCTCCTCAAAAGATGAGGACATAGAATTACCACATGACCCAGCAAAAGAAACGGGAATCTATGTCCCCACAAAAACCTGGACAGTTTTTCCAACCGGCATAATTAACCAGGCAATTCTGAAAAAAAACCCAAATGTCCAGCAGCAGATGAATAAACACACAGAACATGGTCCAGTCAATGGAATGTAATTTGTCCATAAAAAGGAATGACGCACCGACACACGCGACAACACGGATGGGCCCTGAAGACACTGCGCTCGGTGAACGAGGCCAGACACGGAAGACCACAGGTTGTATGATTCCCTTTACATGAAACGTCCCGAACAGGCACATCCATAGACGGAAAGTAGGTCAGTGGTTGCCAGGGGCTGGGGCAGGGGGATGGGGAGTGATAGCCGATGGGCACAGGGCTTCTTTCCGGGGTGCTGAAGTGTTCTAACACTGCTTATGGTAATAACGGCGGCATGGTATATGCATAACTACACCAAAGACCACCGAATCATGTGCTGAAACCAGCGAACTGTGTGGTATGGGACTGACATCTCAATAAAGCCATTGTTAAAACCATAAAAAAAAAGGGGGGGGGTTCCAGGTCCCTGAGCAGCCTCCGGCAGGAGTGTCCACTAACGTACTTACTGCCAGGTTTCGGGATGAAATCTCCGCCCTGTAGCTTCTAACATCCTCCAAGTCCAATGTGGCGGTGAGAACTTCCTGGAGGGGTTTCAAAGAGAGAGTGTGACTTGTTTTTTATACGCATGCGTGTAATTTGACTGCTTTACTAGGTGTGCCCAATTGCACACGATGAGTCGCGCCTTCTAAAGCTGGGGCCGGGGACCTGTGGATTCCTGGGGGTCCAGGGGGAGGGGAAAACCAGTGTTGTCGACGGTCCAAAGCCCTTCCCTTAGCATTTACAACACTTGTTCCCCCAAAAAACAAGAGCTGAAGGCAGCTGGATCCAAAGACAAGACGGGGGATGCCACGCGGGGAGTACTGTCACCCTGGGCGGATATCTGAGCCATTAGCAGTGGCCCCCTCGCTCATACGGATGTCCTGGCAGAACCTAAAGTGACTTTTTGTTGGATTTGCACAATTGGGAGTCACGGCCATCTTGGCAGTGACAGCCATCTTCCTTCTTTGTAGCTTCCCAAACACAAAAGTGAGAGTGACGCCATTCTCTACAA